TCAGAATTGTTGTCTGAAGGCCTTGCCGTATTGGTCCATTTGATCGACCTCTGCTATTATTATTTATTTTATTTTCAGTTGTTACAGACGGGATAGACATGGCTGGGGGACAGGAAAGGGAGAAAGAAAAGGAGAGAGGGGGAGGGAAAGAAAAACAGAGAGGAAGAGGGACAGTAAGAAGGGGCACTTATAAAGAAACAATCTCCTGGATCACCTGTTGAGAGAGAAAAAAAGAGAGCAACATAATAAACACAACACCATCGCAATAATGTAGCTTAGTGTAATTAACAGTAAATACTAAATATTGAATGTTGTAGTGCAGCACGCAGAACCGGCAGCGCACAATGTCCTTTGAGGTAGCAGTCAACAAAGGTGTAGTTTGTGTCTGTGAGCAGTGAACACCTGTGCGTACACCTGTGCGTACACCTGTGTGGATGAGCGTGCTTGCATTCAAAAGGTTTGCCCATGTAACAATCTGCCAGAGGGTGTGGGGAGCCATAGCCCCGTCCCCCAGGACGACAACAACACTCCATCAATATTTTACTTCTGAGGGGTAAGAACTGAACAAATAAGGGAGTGAAATAATGCAGTGGTGACTACAATAAGGACCCACACCAGCTCTCTCAGTTTGCCACTTAAAAAGTAACTTGACTCTCTCTCTCACCCTTTGCTCTCTCATTTTCTCTGCGTCCCTGTTCAGTTCCTTCAGCTGAGACTCGTAGAGTTTCCTAAGCCCAGATGACCTGTCATAGCTGCTTCTCAGGGCCTCAATCTCAGCCTCCAGCTGCTTGTTTTTTGACTCCAGTGTTCTCACCTAAAGCAAGGAGCATGAGAAACAGGTTAAAAGTAAAAAAAACCCCAAAAAAAACCCCAAAATGTACAATGTGCTACCATTTCATCTTAAAAGGTTATGAAGCACTATGTGTAATATTAACTTTTATGTTCTTGTTCATTTCTGAACAAGAAAAACAGACAACAGAGCAGACCTGTGTGTATGTGTTTCAGGTTTTATTATAAACACAGAAGCAGAATGTGGTTGGACTGCAGATTACTTTTTCGATATACACTGTCAGACGGTCATTGAGGATGACCATCTCCTGCCTTTCGTGGGCACGAGTCAGCATAAAGGCCTGGTTCTCCTCTGCAGCCACATCCAGGTCCAATTCCAGCTCACCATCCTTAGACACACCAAAGCACAGAGCTCCCATACTTGTACTGCTTTAGGAAAGGAAGAGAAAACTTTTTTCTGATTGATGTTAGTATTTTTTGTTTCACACTTCTTTAAAAAGACAAATCTGAACACAACTAACATAAATAACCAATAAATACATTTTTACACGTTACCCACCTGGTCAGTCGAGCCTTGTTACTGAGGGCCATGCGCCCCCTTGTCTCACCACTCCGGGTGAAGCTTGCTGACCGATGCCGGGTCTCCTTCCGGGTGGGAGATGGACTGGAAACCCGCAGCTGGCAGGCAGAGCTGGCTGCCAAAGTGCCCTCGAAATGACGGCGGTATGAAGACATCCTCTCTGGACTGCGGCTCATCCTGGCAGACTTCACTTATGGAGCTGAACACTGGAAACCGGACGCTTACTTTGTCTCACAGTCTGTGCTGGGGTCTTATATTCTCCTCAGCCCTTCCCTCAGTACCTAAAGAGGAATGTAGAACCTCCCCAACCAAAGGGTGCATGTCCCTACAAATATCTGTCAAGCTTACGCCAAATAATTTATTAGACCTATGGACTGCTGAAAGAATATTACTGACAATAATGACAGAATTTTCTGCTGAACTACTTTTAAAGCCTCCTTTAAAGCAACGTGTATATGCAGTGCACTGAAATCTGAATTTAGAGCCCATATTATTCTCAGCAATATACCAGTCACACATTTTGGTGGATAAAAACTTCCAGACAGAAGGACAGACTTACGACGACTGACATGTGTTTCTTACTTACTCACTGTTTCTTAGTGTTGTCTTGTGTCTGGTGATTTTTGTTTTACTTGTACAGTGCAATGTTAATAGAATCAGGCTAGCTTGAATATAAAATATCAAAATGTTACTGCATCATGTTACTGTATTACTGTAAATGGTAACTGTATCATTAACACAATGATATTGACTGGACATGGACTGCTTTAGTCCTTTGAATAATGTTACTTTATTCAAATTAATTATCAATTATTTAAAACTCAAATCAACACTGTCTGAAGAAAAAAATCCCACTTTTGACATTTTAAAGGATTTTAAATACAATCCGGAACCATCCGCTTTCGTTTTCCGGAAGGTTTTTGATGTTACTCTAGCTTCTGCTTAGCCTAACTACTTTCCGTCTGGTATTCACTCCTTTGCAAGCGAGTAATATCAGTTTAAAGCTTACTTCTCTACCTCAGCTGCTACGATATGGCGGGGAATTTTTGGCAGAGTTCTCATTAGTAAGTTTTTATTAAAACTTCGACATGTTACGGTTTTGTTTATGAATTCGCCTTCTTTGTTGTGAGGCCTAGCTGTGTTTGCGGATGCATCGTATGACGACGCTAACAGTTTCTCCTAAACTGCTGCTAGGATCTAAAATAGTCAATATAAATAAGACCGAAAGAAAACTCAGTAAGATTGTATATGCCATAAAACGTAATCATGCAAGCGTTCTGTTATGTTGTCAGCGACACCAGAGCCGGCGGCTAAAGCTTAGCTTTATGTTGTTATTGTTGTCTTGCCTGCTAGCTTCATTGCTCACGTTTTGACGTCTAAGCGGTTTAAAACAATATTGTTTCATGTATTTGTCAGTCTGCAGTGGGTCCTGGATAAGCAGGACCTGATGAAAGAGCGCCAGAAGGACCTGAAGTTTCTCACAGAAGAGGAGTACTGGAAGCTACAGATTTTCTTTGCCAATGGTATTTGTTATATTTGGCTGATAGTAATTGATAGCCTACCAAGTTATGTTGGTATTGTTCGTGTAAGCTGTGTTTGCTTCAGAAAAAAACATCTCCAGGCTTAACAGTTATTTATAACCAATCTATATTGGTATAATAAAATGCGCTATACCTCTTTTCAGTATTTAATTCTGTGTCTTTCAGTGATCCAGGCTTTAGGTGAACACCTGAAGCTGCGTCAGCAGGTCATTGCTACTGCAACTGTTTACTTTAAACGCTTCTATGCCAGGTAAACGGATCCCATCCAAATAGACTAAAAATCTTATTTTTATACTCCTGTGGGAGTGGCAGTGAAATGTGTCCATATACTCCATTCAAAAACATCTATGATTCAATATAAAATGTTTTAGGTTATTGTGTTCAGTTTTTTAAATAGTTGTTTTTATTATTATTATTATTTTTTTTTACTTTAATACCTACTACTCAAACAAATAATTTTCTTTGTCTTCTTCTATGTAGGTATTCTCTGAAAAGTATAGATCCAGTTCTCATGGCTCCTACCTGTGTTTTCCTGGCTTCTAAAGTTGAGGTATGAGTGTTTCTGTGCTGCCACGAAGCCTCGAAGTTCCTTACTGTCTTTAAGGTTCCCACTTATTAACTGATCTGATCTTAATCATTTTTGTCCTTTTAGGAATTTGGAGTTGTATCCAACACCAGGCTGATCTCTGCAGCAACATCTGTTTGTAAGTGACTGTGTTCAGCAACATATTCTTTAAATTTAAAAATAAATGTGTTTTTTCTTCTGCAGTGTAGGTTGTATAATGCTGTTTTATTTTTCTCAAACAGTGAAAACAAGATTTTCCTTTGCCTTTCCAAAGGAGTTCCCCTACAGAATGAATCATGTAAGTAAAATATCCTTGCGGCAGTTAATATAACAGGCACAGCATCATAATATAAAGAGGTAAAGTGATCTTTTTTATGACAGTCAAAAATACCTGTTTTGAGTTTTGATGGTAAATTGCACAGGACAGAAAGAGTTGAGGACATTAGACATGAAAAACATTTAAGTTGTTGTCTTATGTACATGATATTTTAGTAAAGCAGAGATTGAGGAAAAAATGGACAGAATTCAATTGATCTGAAAAGTTATTTATTAACCGCCATGCCGCTTTACAACATAACAAGAACCTTTTACTCTATATCACAGTGTCATGGCATTAATGTCTATTAATATGTGAGATTCCCCAGCTAATGTTCACACCCTTGTGATGAAAACTCAGTTACTCTGAGAGATAGCATTGTACTGTGTGCTACAGTACGCACAGTTGTCGTGCACAGCATCTCACATTGTGGTGGCAAATGCAGTGAGCTGCCACAAGATTATTTATCTAGCATCACTGCAGGGTTTCCGGGACATCACCAGCACAGCTTTGACATGCCCTCTGACCAGAAAAGTGTATAAATTATTATTTATAGAGGGCCACTGCAAAGTGATAAAAGGAGGGAGTGGTTCACACAGCAGGGAGGGAATTTGCAAGGTGATGCTACTCATAAACATAAATTTTTGTGTCTGCTTTTGCAGACATAGTAAAAGAGAATGATGGAGTAGCACACAGACAGTTCTAAACAAAAAGCGGCGTAGATTGTGAGCAGTCTAATATTTGCTGGTGGAGTTTTTTTATCAGAAGTTTAATTATTTCTAATTGTGCTACAAGTGACTGCTTATCTATTTGAATGTTTACTAAACCATAAAAATTCAAGAATGGGTAGCTTAACTTCCTCAAGTTATAAGTCAGAGAAAATAAACAAAGAGGGATAAATAAAATTGTTATTTTGCATGTTAATTGAGAAATTTTGGAATTGCTTTATTAATTATTATATATACACTGTGTATGTATGTGTGTGTATATGTATGTATGTATGTATATATATATATATATATATACACACACTATGTCACGTATGTTGAATAGTATTTAAAAGCTTTGCAAGCTTTTAAAGGTGTATAATATATTATACTGTCCAGATGGTCTTCTCTCAGATGTCTTGGTTTTTAAGCATTTTTAATTTGTTTTGTGAGTAAGTTATCTCTGTAAGAAGCTGCCATGTGTTTTCTTTGGAGTCTTCTCTGAACTAGTTTATGTTGCATGTTGTGTCCTAAACCCAGTCCTGCTTTGTGTATTTACAGATATTAGAATGTGAATTTTACCTTTTGGAGCTGATGGTAAGTACAGAAAGATTTGTGTCTTTAGTGCTGGCTTGACTGAGTGTTGTGTTACTGATTTATTGATGTAATATTTTTCTATGTTTTCAGGACTGTTGCCTGATTGTGTACCACCCCTACAGACCACTGTTGCAGTATGTGCAGGATATGGGACAGGAGGACATGCTGCTGCCTCTGGCCTGGTACGATACCATCTGCTTGACATTTGTCGCTTTTGTTTATTCGATTTAGTTGTTTTTGTGTGTCCTCACTCTGTGCCTGCCCTGCCAATGTCTCTTTACCAGGCGAATAGTGAATGACACGTACAGGACAGATTTGTGTCTGCTCTACCCTCCCTTCATGATCGCCCTGGGTAAGACTTGTACCCATGCATTTCAGATTGTTCTCTAATATAGTTACTGATTTTAAATAAGCTTTAACCTGATCAGTTTTTCTTTTCCTCCCACAGCCTGTCTGCATGTTGCCTGTGTGGTGCAGCAGAAAGATGCCAGACAGTGGTTTGCAGAGCTCTCGGTCGACATGGACAAAGTCAGTTTGATATCAGTTTCAGTGTTGTCGAGTTTTACCCATTCGTACTTAGCCTCATAACATATAGCAACTTGAGGTTCCACACATTGTGATATGGCAGGCACATTGTTGCCTGTTTAAATCAAGTTTTTAAATCTTTGTTCTCACTTTGCCACCATAAACTGCTGATGAGTTATCTGCCTTTAAGTAGCACAAGGTCATGAGATTGACCTAGTTATTAAAATCACTGCTATCCTTTTATGTACTGTATGTGTATGTGCTAGTAATATTTTGTGCTCAAATATTAACCACATAAAGTGATATTTTTGCTGTGGATTTGAGCATGTAACATACTGACCCAGACGGATCATGTCATTCACTTCATGTATATGATTTTACATAAGAAAATGCTCATTTTGTTCAATGACTACTGTATATTTTACTTACAGGAAAATGACCCATTTTACTTTGATTTAACATTTGTGAGTTTTCATTACTGATGTTGCGTTGCCTCACGTTGTCTTGTGTTTTTTGTGTGTCTATTTTTTGTAAAGATCCTGGAGATTATCCGTGTCATTCTGAAGCTGTATGACCAGTGGAAAAATTTTGATGATAGAAAGGAGATAGCTGCTGTCCTAAATAAGATGCCAAAACCCAAACCACCTCCAAACAGGTATGTAGTGTACTTGTTTCTTTCTCTTTAAAAAAAAATCCTATATTTTAAAACACACAGGACAGATTAAGTAGAGTAAAATATCAATCATATATTTCACCTCTGTAATATTCTTGATATTTAAATTGAGCCATTTGTGTATATATTTTAGCTATTTTTTATATTTTGTAAACTTCGTAATATATTGTATAATTTAATTAGTTTAGTCTGTTACTGTTATTGTTTTGGAGCAACTGTAACTCACATAATTTGCTTAGGGATTATTAAAGTATTCTGATTCTTACAAACCAATTTATAAAATAAGTAGGGAGGTTAGACCTTTGTGCAAATAAAACAAAAATGCAAGGATTTGGTGCAAAAACAGAGATTTTGATCAACACAGTTTTAGTTTCAACATCTGGTTTGTTGCCGCTACATATTTTCAGTGTTTAAGTGATTTTGAAATTACTTTTATCTCAGTTCATGTGTACATTTTACAGTGTTTTTCCTTTTTTATGCAAATGTTGTTTTTTTTTTTTAAATAATGTGAACAACACAGTGCTGCCTGCAAAAGTATTCGGCCCCCTTGAACTTTCCCACATTTTGTCACATTACAGCCACAAACATGAATCAATTTTATTGGAATTCCACGTGAAAGACCAACACAAAGTGGTGTACACGTGACAAGTGGAACAAAAATCATACATGATTCCAAACATGTTTTACAAATAAATAACTGAAAAGTGGGGTGTGTGTAATTATTCAGCCCCCTTTGGTCTGAGTGCAGTCAGTTGCCCATAGACTGCCTGATGAGTGCTAATGGCTAAATAGAGTGCACCTGTGTGTAATCTAATGTCAGTACAAATACAGCTGCTCTGTGACGGCCTCAGAGGTTGTCTAAGAGAATATTGGGAGCAACAAAACCATGAAGTCCAAAGAACACACCAGACAGGTCAGGGATAAAGTTATTGAGAAATTTAAATCAGGCTTAGGCTACAAAAAGATTTCCCAAGCCTTGAACATCCCACGGAGCACTGATCAAGCGATCATTCAGAAATGGAAGGAGTATGGCACAACTGTAAACCTACCAAGACAAGGCCGTCCACCTAAGCTCACAGGCCGAACAAGGAGAGCGCTGATCAGAAATGCAGCCAAGAGGCCCATGGTGACTCTGGACGAGCTGCAGAGATCTACAGCTCAGGTGGGGGAATCTGTCCATAGGACAACTATTAGTCGTGCACTGCACAACGTTGGCCTATATGGAAGAGTGGCAAGAAGAAAGCCATTGTTACCAGAAAACCATAAGAAGTCTCGTTTGCAGTTTGCCGCAAGCCATGTGGGGGACACAGCAAACATGTGGAAGAAGGTGCTCTGGTCAGATGAGACCAAAATGGAACTTTTTGGCCAAAATGCTATGTGTAGCGGAAAACTAACACTGCACATCACTCTGAACACACCATCCCCACTGTCAAATATGGTGGTGGCAGCATCATGCTCTGGGGGTGCTTCTCTTCAGCAGGGACAGGGAAGCTGGTCAGATTTGATGGGAAGATGGATGGAGCCAAATACAGGGCAATCTTGGAAGAAAACCTCTTGGAGTCTGCAAAAGACTTGAGACTGGGGCGGAGGTTTAGCTTCCAGCAGGATAATGACCCTAAACATAAAGCCAGGGCAACAATGGGATGGTTTAAAACAAAACATATCCATGTGTTAGAATGGCCCAGTCAAAGTCCAGATCTAAATCCAATCCAGAATCTGTGGCAAGATCTGAAAACTGCTGTTCACAAACGCTGTCCATCTAATCTGACTGAGCTGGAGCTGTTTTGCAAAAAAGAATGGGCAAGGATTTCAGTCTCTAGATGTGCAAAGCTGGTTGAGACATACCCTAAAAGACTGGCAGCTGTAATTGCAGCAGAAGGTGGTTCTACAAAGTATTGACTCAGGGGCCTGAATAATTACGCACACCCCACTTTGCAGTTATTTATTTGTAAAAAATGTTTGGAATCATGTATGATTTTCATTCCACTTCTCACGTGTACGCCACTTTGTACCGAATACTTTTGCAAGCCACTGTAGTTAGTGTCATACTGACGTAACACTGACATGGGGATTTCCATGTTAGAGGTGGCTGAAAAGATGGAGATGATTAAAAAATAGTCTCAGGTGAAAATGATTGTAGACAGTTGTCTCATCAGAATCTGTATTATTATTATTATTATTTTTTTAAATTGCCAAATTTGTACACAAACGAGGATTTGTCTTGGTGTCATGGTACAAAAATAAATAAATCAAACTGTGGTACAGAAATGGAATATATGGTGTTTACAGTATCTTTAAATATTATTATTATTAATCCTCATAACAGGAAAAAAATGTATGTATGTATGTACACACACACGCTAACTACCGACAGATATTAGAATAGAAATTAAGAAATATGTAAAGGTTGTGCAAAGTGTAGGTAGAAAATTGTTGTACATGTGAAGATGAGGTTTGAGCTTCTTTTCTCTGGAAATGGTTTCACAAGTTAATTGTTTTTAATTGCTGTGGGTCTGCTTTCATTAGTACAGTATGTTCTTGTACACTTGGACTTCTCACAGTCTATCTCAGTGACCTGTATGCACTTCATTTTTCTCTCTGTCTGCAGTGAGAGTGATCAGAGCTCCAATGGGAACCAGAGCAACTCCTACAGTCAGTCTTAGCATGCCGTCTGTATTTCCGTGGGAATCCATAATGTCGACGTGGAGGATCTTCTTGTAATGTCACAGTGCAACCATTACAGTGTCACTTGGAAACAGTCACAATAATCAGAAATTTGATCCTCAATCAACCCCCACTCCCCAACAAACTGAGTGTCTTTACCTTTTCCTCCTTGTCTGATCATTATGGGTTTGTGGACTGAGCGAGAAACACGGAAATGCCTGCAGTGAACAGCAAATCGAATACAACAAGCCATGACGTTGTCTCGATTAGGCTCCAACTTGAAACGAACTTAAAAGCCAAGGAACATTTTGGGGGTGGAGGGAATGTAGGGGGAACAGATGTAATGGTTCAGTAGACACTCGTCATTGTGACGATCCTGACATCCTTGAACAGTCCAGAGGAGTGAGTGTTTACACGTCGAGCTCCGTGGGATTTGAAAAAACAAAACTTGATCACGAGCACTGTGCGTGCATGTCTGTGTCTGTGTGTACTATATGTGAGCGGCCACTCTGGGTGGGTTTTAATTCCTCAGGGATTGCAGTAGTTCTTTTTTTTTTTTTTTTTTTTTTTTCTGTTAATTGATTTTGAGCTTACAGGGTGGATCTTATTGGTTATCACCCTGTTCAGCTGTGATGGGATGCACCTGCCCTGTTAAGTGTCTCTGCTGGCTGATTGGTAAACTGTGGCTGGAGAAATGCCAAGAGAAGCTTCTCACGAGGGCACAAATGAGCTCTTTGAATACAAGAATTTACTGTTTTGAATTATGACAACCCACCAACCCCCACCTCCTTGTAAATAGCCTTATGATACTTTTTTTTTTATCTTTCATGCTTTTGCTTATATAAGAAAAGTTTAATGGAAATCATGAGCTGGTTTGTGCTTCAGATAAAAGTGCCCCTGTTTGTTTGTTTTTATAGTAAATATTTTTTCCATTTACCCTACTTTAGTTGTATAGTGCATTATCTAACACTTTTTTTGTTTTTGGAAAAACCTTTGCTTTTAATTTGTCAAGGAACATCTTTTTTTTTTAATGTTTATCTGCAAAGTTTTGGTTGTACCTTATTTTAATTTACTCTATTCCCTGAATTTAATCACTGAGTTGTGGCAATATGTGTGTGTAAATGTCTCTATATTTTTGTGATGTAATACAGCGGAAGCTGTGTGTGTGGCTGTACTTAAAACAAGGTGCTTGAAAGCCTTACAAAATAAAAGCTGCTGGTTAAAGAGAGAACCCCTCATGAAAGCACATTGTCCCATTCAGGTGAACTGCATAGTGTGCTGCTATTGTTGCTTATTATTATTTTTCTTTCAGGCCTTTTCTTTTTTTTTTCCTTTAAAGAAAGAAAGAAAAACAGATGTGGCACGGTGCCCTCTGGCCTTTTTCCTGCCATTCAACTCCTCTATTGTTGGTGTCCACTTTAAAATAGGGTGTGATCCTATGATCCTACATGGATATATCTAGTTCTAGTTAAAGAACAAAGAAAATGTTATTTTAAGGCTCATTTCGAAGCTCAGTTATGGTAATAAAGTCTATTGTGTATTGTCTACTTAACAAAGTGGGCCTTCGTTTTTGTGTAATGCACATTGAGGCATCTTCCAGCATGTTACAAAAGTCATAGGAAGTCCTTTTTACCAACAGCAGTGTCTGCTCAGAGCAGGGGCTGTGGTGGGACCCCTAGTGTTGATTACAAAGAGTGACAGCTGACATGTACTGGTAGAAAATTCGGAATGTGCACAGCCTGGGGCTCCAAGTGGCGACATTAAAAATGAGGATAAATTGTACGTTATGATTATGAAAATGAAGCACTGAAGGTGCAGTAAACTCTGGTAGTTGACGCCTTCGGGGTACAGTCAGTTCCCGTGACGTCGCTTTAGCTGCATAAGGGCAGCGGAGGTAGTATGGCAAGCTATGTGATGTCTCCTTCAAAATAAAGGTCTAAAGGCAAGATTACATATGAACTGACAAAATGCGGAAGCAAAACTATTTTTATGTGCTTCTTCAGGAGTACTTAATCATAACCTTAACGTAAAGTCTGTGACACATCTGTTGGCAACCGCACCGACAAGGAATTAAGTTTAAAATAAGTGTAACCCCAAAGAATTAATCATGGTCAAAAGATACAAAAGCCTGTTTGAAGTTCGACTTTTAAAGCTACTACGCTTCAGTAAACTTGAAACAAATCTTCATATTTTCTCATTCTCTGTGGCACACCTGTTCATTTTTGTGACCTTTTATTGCCACAAATATTGTGCTGTTTCTAATATTTTTATTAGCACTGTTGCCTCATTTATAAGAGTTTTATCTGTTTTAAAAGGTTAGATACAAAGTATTGTCAAAAGGGAAGGAATTTTGTCCTGTTGCCACTCATTCATTTGGCTGTCCACCAGTAAAGTAGCCTTATTATTTTGTAGTAGTTTAATAATGGTTTGTATTTAGCTTTGGATTTATCTATTTTTGTTCGGCACTTTTCTTGACATTACTCGAATTATTTTGCAAAGGATGACCCGCAAATCCACTTTTATATTGAAAACATAACCGGAAACCCTTTTGTGTTTCACTTACTCTTGACAGTAATTATAAAAAGGGGGACATAACCTGGGAGCTCCGAGCGGGCTTCAGAGAAAGTCAACCCCGCTACGGGGACGGGCTCCGGGCGGGATGCTTGTGTCCGGTCGGCTGGTCCTCGTGCCGTCGCCTCTCACCTGCATTCGCGTGCACCCATGAAGCCTCCGCTGATGAAGCTCTTGGCTGCCAGGGTGAGGCGGAAAGTGGCCAGAGACAGAGAGCATGTACTGGCGTGTCGGGTTCGCCTGGACTCGGTCGTGTGTGGCTGATCTCGGACCGAACCAGAGCCTCTCCTCCGGTCTGCTGGGGTCCGATGAGCAGCTCTCGTTTTACGGGTACATCATCGCATACCCACTGCAGGACTGCGGCGGGATCATGTCAGCTTTGGGCTCGGACTCGTGGTGGCGGAAAACACTGTATTTGACCGGAGGGGCTCTGCTCGCTGCCGCTGCTTATCTGCTGCACGAACTGCTGGCCATCAGGTACCAACAACAACAACAACAACACAGGGACTGCCAGAGAGATGCAGACCTCAGGATCCCTGTACGCAGGCCTCCCAGGCCAGAGCACAATCCGTGTGGATTTGATCTGCTCATATTTTCACTCCAAAGTTGTATTTTCCACTGAGGTCTGATATTACTTAATCTCGTCTGATTGGGCTGGGTGAGAGTGGAGACGGGGGAGAAGGAGTCGTGAGTGGGGGTGGGGGTGTTGTGATGTAACGGAACCTCCACCCCTTGAGCTTCCTCCTCATAAACACACACATATTAGGGGAGATTTCCATCTTCGCTAGTTTATTTCTGTGATTAGTGATATGATAATAGTTTATTAGTGTTATTGTATGTCCGTGTGCTACCACGGCCTTCACATAGCTCTGCTGCCAAATGAAAGGACATTAGAGGCAGTAGGTCGCTTTCATTAGTCTCTGCTAGAAGGACGAGGGAGGTGATGGAGGTTAACACTCCTGCTGGTGTTTAGGTCCAGTCTAAACGCTGCAGTGGTGTGTCGGTCTTTTATAACCTCTGATGTAAACACCTTGAATCATGAAGGTTGCGGGAGGGGATATGGCAGCTTTAAAGTAGAAAGAAGCGCTGTGTGCTTGATTCATTTTCAGGGTGAAAGCTTTGACTGAGCGAGTTTATTTCTTCGATTTACCCGCAGTCCAGGCCAGGGTCTGTGCTATGTTACAGTTTAAAGGGTATTTAGTGTTACTGCAAATGGCACTGACGATGTGCTTTTAAGATGAGGAAACGGAAGCTTCCTCTGCGGGTTTTTTGTTGTTGTTTTTTTTGTACCTGTATGAGCGGATATGTTGCAGTTTCCCCCCTGCCTCCCTTTCTCTACATCGTCCTGTCAGCAGCCATGCGTGCTGTAGGCGACCCTCTTCTATTCTGGTGTCAGCGGCTATTTAAGCACCGCACTGAAAATAGACAGCTCCTCTGCACTCAGCCGCCTGCTTGTTTGTCGTTTCAGCACTTTACACGGCGGACAGCTCCTTGTCCTAATTCTGTATCCTCTCCGCGTGAATGTGCTGCTTTTCGTCTGGCTGTGGTTGTGGCAGTTTTGACATTAACCGGTCGGTGATTCGTTATTATAATGTTACAGTTTTCATGCAGACAGCCCACGTGATGCACATACTTACGACCTTTTCATTTTCATTTTTTATTTTGCTGACGAAAGCAAGAGAGTAACTTAGTAAAAACTAAAGCAGGAGGACATTAACTGTGAGGAAATGTACTGACAGTTTCCTCAAATAATAAAAACCAGATCAGAATAATCTGGAGAGCGGAGAGCCAATCAGAACAGCCGATGAGTATGGAAGTGATTCAGTCAGAAGGTTAGAGTCGCAAATTTGATCTGGCCCCGGAAACAGTGCAGCAAAATTGCTAATTTTGGTATGATCCAATACCAAGTAAATACTGGGCCACTATTGCCGATACCAATATCAGTACCAATAGTGATTTCAGTGTATAAAGGCAGTTTATGTAGGGGAGAGTAAGTGTGTCATGACTAATGAGACGAATCACTATCAATTTTCAAATTTTAGACCACTGAATCGCTGTGATTTTTACTTTCCACAATAATTAGTTAACACAATAAAAACACAACGTTCACCTTTTCATGGATATGAAACTGTGTTGTTGTCGTTTTTTGTTTGTTTGCTTTTTGGAAACTTTTTGGAGTGCAAATGTTCCTGTCTCTAAAGGACTTTTTTCAAGTGTGCTTTACGCTGTAAATAAATCCATGACAGTCAAAACAAAAAGGTTTCAAAAACACAATTCAGAGGGCTACATACCTTACTTAGAGGATAGAAACAGAGTATCAGCCCTCTTGTGCTAGTATCAATCCAATACCAGTTCCAGCGTTGGTATTGATGCTATCCATATTTGGATCGATCTGCCCACTACTAGGTACAGCTAGCGCCCATGACCCCCGTTTCTCACGGAAATGCAACAAAATTCTAATGCTTGGTAGGAAGAGAAGAGTAGACATATGGACATAATTTACATTTGATGTCAAGGAAAACAGGACGCTGGAAAAACTCTCAACAGTAAAAACACAACAATTTTTACACCAACATTTTTATATTTTGTCACCTGAATCAGCTTCAGATCTAGTCTGCTATAATCTTTAGATATTTGGCCAACTAAAACTAGACTGAAAGTAAAAGATTTGAAAAAAATATGGCTAAAACTAAATAAAAATGTGCTGTGCTTCTGAGACTTACCTTAACCATAAAATCTGCTAAACTACTTTAAGTCTATCTTTGTATGCTCCCCAAAACTGGCTAAATACATACACCAACCTTATTACTCTAACAATAACCACAAAAATAAGTGCTTTATGAGCAACTGTGGTGGCTATCTCCATATTTTTTTGTTCATGGACTCTTCTACAGTTGCAGTATAGTTCTTTATCTTGTAATGGGCTTTCGGCCAGACTTTGACTGTATGAAGCTAATAGCTCTTTTCCCTTTAAGGCCGCCCTCCAAGCCAGATTTCCTCTGATTGGCTGCCCTTTGTAAACCCGTGTGCCTGTGCCAAAACTGACTATTCAATGATGCCCACTCTCACTGACATCAGAGGGGCTAATAACATCAAATAATAGAAAAAACTACACTCTCTACATAGTTGATACAAAATACTTGGTTAACACTCATCCTAACTTAAATTTAAACATGGTCTAATGTTATATCAAGTGTTTGTACATCTAAGATCTAAAGATTTGTGTTCCCTAAAAGCGGGAACAGCCTAATTGCTTCCCTGTTTTCAGCTATAATATGAAGTAGACTACTAACAGGCGGCTATGAGGATGGTATCAGTCTTCTAATCAAAGTGAAAAGCAGGGATGTATTTGAGGCTGATAGATTGGTCTTAATCCATCATATTTACAATGTAGCATCAAGAGAAAAGGCTAAACTTCTGATGAAGAACACAATCCAAATGAAAAAATGCTGAAAACTGCAAAGGACTAAATGTCTATGTAGAAATATAGAAGACGAGTGCTATGTCCATGTATGCAGTTGACTCACACCCAACCCACACTCTACATTTTAGTGTTTAGTTGTTGTTTTTTCACAACCCTTGGAGTGTATGTGACATGTAGCTCTTTCCTTCTTTGCCTCATACAGAAAGGAGGAAGAGCTGGACTCTAAAGATGCAATCATACTCCACCAGTTCTCCAGGCCCAAAACTGGCGCCCCATCTCTGTCGCCTTTCTGCCTTAAGCTGGAGACCTACCTCCGTATGGTTGACCTGCCCTACCAGGTATGACTGTGTTTATGTGGCTGCAAAAGAAAAACAATATTTTGTCTGTTATATAATAAAATGAATTTATTAAAAATAATCTCTCCTGCAAAGGTCACTCAGTTTCTTTTGCAGCATTTACCAACCACTTTGAGAATTTTCTCATCATCTTCCCACCCCCTTTCCTTAATCCTCTTC